CGCCCCGCGGTCCCCTCGTCCGCCCCCCGACTCCCAAAACGTAATAACGTGTCACCCGCCTTTCCGAAATGAGAAGCCCCCATCCCAATTAGCGCTCGCTAATTAACGGCCGAGTCCCGCATCCGGAGGGGCACCATCCCTGCCAACGCCGGCACTCCGGGTAATGCACCCATCAAGGTTTTATTAAACATTCCAGCGATGCCATGCGTCCTGGAAACGCGTCCGCTCCTCCGCTCTCGGCGGCCACGCTCAGTGGAGCAGGTCTGCTCCTTCATAGAATCATAGAATGGTTAGGGCTGGAAGGGACCTTCAAAGGTCATCTAGTCCAACCCCCCTGCAAGGAACAGGGATATCTCCAACTAGATCAGGTTGCTCAGGGCCTCGTCCAACCTGGCCTTGAACGTCTCCAGGGATGGAGCATCCACCACCTCTCTGGGCAACCTGTTCCAGTGTTCTACAACTCTCAGGGCAAAAAATTTTTTCCTAATATCCAACCTGAATCTACCTCCCTCTATTTTAAAACCATTACCCCTTGTCCTATCACAAAAGGCCCTCCTGAACAGCCTTCGGTAAATAAAGGTAAACCACCGAGTAGAGCTGAAGTATCTAAAGAGTAAAACTCTCTGAGATTTTGATATAAAAACACCCGGAGCCATCCTGGCCACCAGAGGCACCGCCAGCATCCGTAGGGACGGATGGAGTATCCATATGGGAAAACTCAACAATCCACCTCCTAAGATGCACGTATCCTTCTACCGCTCGAGGGAAAAGGGTGATAAATCCGGCAGGGAGCGGTAAATCGCTTTTTGTTCTCCAAAAAGTGAAGCACTCGGGAAGATAAAAAGATGGAGGGATGTTTCTAATCAGACTTACAAGATAATAAGAGGATAATTGTTACCAGCGAGTCGAGACGGCGGTAAGGAAGATAAAAGGGAATCCTGCCAAGGGGAACTCGAGAAAATCTTTTACTACTAGAGAAAACGCAAATAACCGAAAGCCAGTGTAGAACAGCAGAGACGGAAACTCTCTTGTCGAGTCGCTTTGATTTTGAAACCACGGGATGCCAAGAAAAGGCTGGAACCAGCATCACCAGCATCATTTTCATAGAATCATAGAATGGTTAGGGCTGGAAGGGACCTTCAAAGGTCATCTAGTCCAACCCCCCTGCAAGGAACAGGGATATCTCCAACTAGATCAGGTTGCTCAGGGCCTCGTCCAACCTGGCCTTGAACGTCTCCAGGGATGGAGCATCCACCACCTCTCTGGGCAACCTGTTCCAGTGTTCTACAACTCTCAGGGTAAAAAATTTTTTCCTAATATCCAACCTGAATCTACCTCCCTCTATTTTAAAACCATTACCCCTTGTCCTATCACAACAGGCCCTCCTGACCAGCCTCTCCCCATCTTTCTTGTAGGCCCCCTTGAGGTACTGGAAGACCGCTATAAGGTCACCCCGGAGCCTCCTCTTCTCCAGGCTGAACAGCCCCAACTCTTTCAGCCTGTCCTCATAGGAAAGGTGCTCCAGCCCTCTTATCATCTTCATGGCCCTCCTCTGGATTTTCTTCGAAGAGAATCGGTTGTTACGGGGCGCTTAGAGCTCAGCAGCCCTAATTCCTGAAATCTCGATGGAGAAAACGCACCGAATCCCGACGGCGTCCTTCTGAGGAGAAAAAGTCATTTTTCCCCACACCTATGAAAGAAAACGCCTGGTGAAACAGGCTGTCCTTCTCCATCCCCAGCGATATCCGGCTCAGCTGGAGGTGACCCAGGCAACCAGTTTGGGAGCTGGCCCTGACTCCAATGCCTGTCCCGTCGGGAGCAGGAGTTTCCCCCCAGCCACCTCCACAAGTCTCCTCCAATCTATGTTTTACTGAGATTCTCCAAAAGACAAAAACCATTTAGTTTAGAGGTCCATGAAGACAAAGAAACAAATCATGCAACTTCTGGTTGGCCAACAACCACCACCCTTGGAGCAGAGTGCTCCTTAGAGTGGCTGGAAGCTGTCAAGGTGCTTTGAGGGACACCACGTCCTGCTCTGGGTCCTTCTCCCTTTTCATGCACCGTCCATGACCTGTGCAGACAGACAGATGGACAGAGCTGGTGGCGGCAAGCATCCCATCCCACTCCTGGCCCGGAGCAGCCCACCTCCTCCCCTGGACCACCTCCTTTACGGGGCTACATGAGATGCCTCCAGTTGGGTGGTCCAGCTTGAAGAGGGACAACCTATCTTCATTATTTGGTCTGACTTCTTGAAGACTATGTCCCTGTTATACCACGACAAGAAGCAGACACGATTAATAACCAAAAGCTCGTCATCTGGAGGATTTTGAAACTGAAAAGTTGGATTCAGACGTGAGAAAAAGATGCCATGAAGTCATCACCACTTCACCGCTGACGTACCGAGACACTGGTTCCAATACAAAAAAGATTTCGTCACGTTTCTTCTGCTTTAGGTTCTCAAGAGATCCGGAAGGCAACCACCTATGTTAGATGTGTTGCAACTGAACGATAAAAACTATCAATATTGATCCTTTTATTCCTTGTTGTAACCCATCACGTCATCACTCGTTTGTTGAGTTTCCAGCTTTTTTTTCCT